TTCTTTCTTTCTTTCTTTCTTTCTTTCTTTCTTTCTTTCTTTCTTTCATGATATTTCTAGGGAAAAGAAACCTTTCCCTAAAGGAGGTCCAAATACATGAGGCCACTACTATGAAGATCTTGTGCTTGATGAAATAGTTTTTACATGTTTAAAAAGCAAGGTCAGAAATGCTGTTCCCAGGTTTGAAGCAAATTAACTGATGATAAGTGGTCCTCAGATCAGATTATCTGATTTTACAAGCCAAAACCAGCATGCTGAATGAAGATGAAGCAAGTGCATCTAGTCATTATCTCTTCAAAGAGTTTTATCTCTCTGGAATTCAACTCTCAGCATCTTTCTTTCGTGAGCTGTTAAAAGGCTTTGAATATTTACTCAGCGTCCCTTTAACCACAATTGGAGTTCCTTACCTGACAGAAGAGCAACATTTTTTTCATTCCTCCCAGTGGCTATATCTTCCATTTACTCTCAACAAGACACTTGATCTACCTCCCACCATAGATGCAGTATTTAGTTCCATTGCAAACTAAGCCTGTATTCAACCATGACCCTGGCAGGTGGATATCTCCTGGAAACACAAGGGGACAAATAATGACACCTACATCACATCATCATATAAATATAAGTATGCACTATCAATATCGATGAATGTGTATGGTCTTCATTTTGGTGTCATTGGACTAACTACGGACAGCCACTGCTCTCAAATTGACAAAAAAGATTTCCCTATGATATTGCCATCTGCAGTATAATGGAGCTTCTGAGAAACAGATTGGGAATGAAACTTCATAGAAGTCCAGAAATAAAAAAAAATCCTTTCTGAATTCCTTACATCTGCTAGTGATATCAGCTTTGGCTGAATTTGAAATATATCCAGCTACATCACGGGTGTCAAACTCACATTACCATCGTGATATTTTGCGATGTTTTCCCCATTTACGGAGCTGGGGTGGGTGTGGCCTACAGGTGACACATCGGGCCCACAGGTTGCCAGTTTGACACCCCTGAGCTACATCATATAATGACATTCTCTGATAGAAAGATTTCATATAATGGCATTCTCTGATATAGGGATGTGGAATTTTTAACATCTTTAGCATTTCATTATGCTTTGCATATTTTATATAGTTAAATAATGTTGACTTGTTTCTGTTAAGATAAAAGGTAAAGGAGTAAAGGTTTGTCAATATTTCATGTGGCCAGCCTGATGTCACGGAGCACTGTTACCTTCCCACCTATCTGGTAAACTAGGATATAAATAAAAATTTATGTAGTATACATTAATTTTAAATCATTCCAACTAGTTGAAAACATAATTGAAACATTAGTTAATTTAAGTTTCTTCACATGCATTCTACATAGAAAGTTGATATGACTATCAAGTGTGATTCTGACTTCCACGTTTTAGATCCAATATAACTTTAAAAGTTGACCTGTGACATGAAACTGGCATTTTTCCAATTACAACTATAGTTCGATTATTTTCTAGAAAGAATTTAATGTTGGCTGGAATCATTTTAATATGTCGTTGCATCCTGTGGGCTTTATATTTTCCCATGTTACAAAAGATAACATGGAATGGGATTTTGTAAAAGCGTATTTAGTAATGTGATATTTTGTTGCATTTGAAGATTGATTATGTGATGGACGATCAGTGCTATTAGCATTAATCACTTATGAAATTGGAGACAAGAATAGAAGTTAGACCGATTACTAATTAATTATTCCTTTTCTTCAAGTAGATATGCTCTGCATCTAATACAGCTTTCAAGGGGAAGGGTAGAAAGCTACTCAAGAAATTGTATTTCATATTCCGATTCCACATGTTTATTTTTGCCAATTTGAATGATCTATAATTCATTTATTTGAGCTGTCTATAATAATTATCCTACAATTATTCATTCTGCCTGATTCAGGATATTATCTGTCCAACTTTAAATTTTATGTTGAAGTTAATTTTGATTTTTTTTCTTTACAGCAAATACATATTTATTTATGGTACAAGCACGAGGTATAATGCTGAAAGAAAATGTAAAAACAATAGGACATATGATCAGACTGTACACTAATAAAAATGGTACAATAAATGGCACAGGTAGGAATATTATAGAATGCTTTGAAGATTTATGTAATTATGAAAATTATTTTCAGTATCATTCTGGGCTAATTCTGAGTCAAAGCTTAACATTAGCAGCATGTATATGTTAAATTGAACATGTATAAAATGATAAAACTGTATAAAAAGAGTTGGGAAGACAACCTTATAAACATTACAGAAATAATTAATGGCAAATATTTTTATTTCTGTTAAGATTATCCTGAAGGCAACAGTACAAGTGATAGTATTTCTCAGACAGCAACGTATCTTCCAGAAAACTTCACTTATTCTCCTTCTCAATCTTGTCCAGAAAAATTGCCCTCCATGAGTAAGTTTATTTTCACCTTAACAGAAAATTGTTAACTTAAACATGTCACAAATTGTTTTGAAACACTATTTTCTATAAAGATTTTAACAGCATTACAATTTTTCAAACATTCTTATTTATGTACAGTATAACTATAATTTCCCAGGGAAAATAAAAATATTTTTTAAAAATAATTTTTAAAAATATTTATTTATTCATTTAGAAAAATAAGTTTAGAATTTCAGAATTGAATTCGGCACACTTTTATTTCCAGTTTAATGAAGCAATTCATTCAGTTGAGGTTCCGTTTAGGACAGGTTATATTTACATTAAGATTTTCTGGAAACCAGGACAATTACCTTGCAGAAGATAAAAAAAAAGGAATATCTGTTAATATAACGCTAACATGTAACATTATGTACAGATTGAACTATATCGGTCAGTTCAATATTTGTAATAGTTTAGAAATATTGCTCTCCTTTGTTCCTATCTCTCCTTTGATAGGATTACCAGATCTAGACTGCAAAAATTCAGAAGATCACTAGAAGAAATCAAAGAGATAGAGAAAATGTAAATTTTCCTCTTTATTTGGTGGTTGTTTGGATTTGTTTTTCATCTGAGATCTGCTAGTCCTACCTTCTCATCCTCCTATAAGAAAATTAACTTTTTTGCTTTAAGCTTTAATTAGCCATGGATCGCTGTACTTTCAGTTTACTATGACTTAGCTAGGGTAAATTAAAACAGCCCAGCTTCAAAAAGTAATGTTTTAACTAATCAGTGTTATTGGATTTATTGGATCACAGATTCTTTTTAATCTGCTCTGCTCAGATTCTAATAATACAGAATATTATGGGTAGCATGCATAGATTTTAAAAAAAACCTCAAGATTTCAGATTGCGGTTAAAGATCTTCAACTTAACCATTATAATGATCATCTTGGCTTACCATAACATGAATGTGCTGGATGGGATTACCACAAAATAGAAGCAAAAGTTCTAAAAAAGTATTTGTGTTGTTTCATCCCAGTAGAGAAGAAGGTGGGGGACTATGTCTGTAGAGATTCTCAGTTATCCAAGTCATGGTTGTCCAAAAATGCTAGTTCAAGGTGTTATGGCTCATTTGCCTGTAATAAACATGACATGTTATTGTGCATGAATGAGGTCAATGATTATTCCAAGGTTTTCCATGAACTTCATATCTTCATACCTAAATATTAAAAACCAGTGTGATATACAGTGCCTGAAATAACATTTTTTGATTTAACTTTCTGGTTATGAAATTGCCCCAAGGCCCCTTATTTGAAAGGGTAGGAGCTGATGAATTGTCTTGTCCTCAGCCTTCCTCTAGGCTGCTGGAAGGATGATTGCTTCCCTAATATTCTTGCTCTACATCAAAAGCTGAAGTGTTCTACTTCTGCTGGAGCAAGGAGAGCCGTCTGATCCATCTGCTGAAATTCATTACACATGAAGCAAATTCTCCTTCTCCAGTTGCCCATTGTATGCTCTCTGTGGTCCAGTTTTTGCTCTCTGCCTTTGATCTCCATTTTATACTGGTCTGCTGGCATGCCTGCCAGAAAGACTGGTCTTTGAGTTTCTGGTTTTGGGAGTTCAGTAGTGAAATAGTGAAATGCTGACTCTTTTCTATTTGTTTACAATAGGTTCAGGAGAGGAATTGTGAAATGCTAGCTATAATTAGTCTTTGGGTTACAACAATTCATGCAGTGACTGTTCAAAACTATGAATTGCTAAATGATGGGGACTTATGACTGGTCCTTGAAGTTGCAGTGCCCCTATGATAACACAATTGTAATTTGGGCCCTCAGCAACCAGCTGCCTTTTCTCCTGTATCAAGCCCAGGGGTGGGATTCTACCAGTTTGCACCTGTTCGCTAGAACCAGTTGTTAACATTCTAAGCAGTTTGGTTGTTAGAAGAAACTACTGGCCTAATCCTGTAAGGAAGGCAGGAAGGAAACATTCTAGTGTTGCTTACAGAAACTGCCTCTCCATTAACTCTTATTACATTCTTGGCAGGACTAGATTTCCTGTCTCAGGAACTTCTCTGGAGTTTTTTTTTCTCATTTGCTGGTACTTTGCTTGTGTGGAGGGACCATTCAAAGTTACAATGGCACTGAAAAAAGTGACTTATGACTGTTTTTCACACTTACGACTGTTGCAGCATCCTCACAGTCATGAGAGGCCAGACGAGGAGATGGTGCCTTGATGTGAGTGATATTGAGTTGGCCATGCCCAGCCAATAACATGACCACCAACCCACGTCCACCCGGTCACATGACCACCAAGCCATGCCCACCAACTAAGCCACGCCCACAGAACCATTGTTAAAAAAATTGAATCCCACCCCTGATCAAGCCCCCCCAGGTGGCAGGGGAATCTTCTATTCTGTAGTGCTCATTCGCATTTGTGTCCACCTGTAGCGCTCACCTGTGAACCTACCTACACTCCTATCTGCCTTAGCACCCACCTGCCTGCCCAATCATAGCTCTTGCCTGCTGGCGTGTTTGTGAGCTACTTAGAAGGAAAGGTTTGTTGTGACTTCAACTTGCGCATTTCCCACATTGACTTTGCTTGTTGGAAGTTGACAGGAAGTAGAAAATTATGGTCAAATAATGTCTCTGTTTAATATTCCACAGTCCTTGTTTCATGACAATAATGGAAACTGCTGGGATTGCCATTGCTAAGTGGCACGATGTAATGGAATGTGTGAATGACCTTGGAAGCTGAAGGAAGAGATGCTGCCTAGGGAACAATCAGATAAAATGGAGAGGAGCCCACAAATTGTAATGGGTATAGAAAGAAACCGAGGAAGGATTTGCCTTAACTAATCAAGTGGTTAAAAAAAGCTGGCAGGAGATTTGTACTTCAGCTTTGCAAGATTTTGTTAATATAGCCTTATAATAAAATACTCATCATGCTCTTGTTTCCTAATGATAGTAATTTGCATTGTAGCCTGAGAACTACCTGTATTTATTTTTTAAAAATCAGTGAAATTGGCAAGCAGACGAACAATTGCAGCCTGCAGAGTGCAGAAATGATTGAAACCCACCAAGCCCCTTAAGCATTCTTAGAAAATAAAAATGATGGATGGCTACAACTTAGTGCTTTATTTGGAAGTGTGTCCACCTCAAAAAAAAAAAAAAAAAAGGCAGCAATAAACCTGGATAGCAGATATGGCTCTGTAGGCTATATTGGAGGAGTCAAGAAACATTGTCTTATATTAAATTGCCTTTAAGAGTTATCGGTGCCATGTTCCCCAGTTACAATCATTTTGTGAGAATTTCTATAATATACCTCTCAAAATTTAAAATGTGACACTGACCCCAAAAGATTGCCCATACCCTTGAGTACTTGATAGAGGAGAAGGAATTAAATGAGTTTCAGACCTGTGAACTGCATTTCTCCCTTTCCTTGCCCTTAGAAGGAGAGAAAATACAACTTCCATTTACAACAAATCAGCTTTGTGTTGTTTCTGAACTGGGACAAAATAATGTGTTTGTCTCAGAGTGTTTTATTTGAAAAAGGCAGTTCCAAGTCACCAATTTTGATACTTGTTTATTTGAATAAACTTTGATTTAACTAATCTTACAGCCCCAATACAGCCCCAGTGTCTCAGTATACAGCCCCAAAGTACAGTTCGATGAAAACTGAAACCAATGCTACCAATATCTTTAGTATTATGCTGGAAATGAAGAAGCACAATGGAAACTAAAGGGTCATTAGGCTAAACAAGGCCAATGATTGCAATGATGATAAAAATATATTTTCCTATCTGGTGGAGCCGGCTTTGGTCCTTGGTACATGTTTTAAAAAGATGTGCTACTTTTAACTGTAAACAATAGTAAGATTGGAGTGTCTTTGCCTAAATAGGATCCAAGCCTGAAAGATAAATATCTCTTTATTTATGCATAAACAAGGTCCAAGGTGGTACCAGGTGTGAGGTCTCTTAGAAAGGTTGGGAATCACTTTATATATAGTTCAAACATGCTGTGTTTGGAATGTGGTCTTTCATTGACAAGCATCATTTGACTCATTTGTGATCTAGCAAGCATGCTCAGTAGCTTGGTATATACTATGTAATATTTTATAACATCCCATAATATTCTTAGCATGATCTTGTTCATGCCCTATTGCATGTTCTGTAGGTCTGTTTCTTAAATCATAATTAGTTTTCAAGTAACTAAAGTTCAAATCTTTGGGCGAGTCTTGTCTCTGGCCAGCTTGAACCAGTCCTTATCAGAATTTCACATCCCTGCTTCTTTACTTCAAAGAACTAGAAGCATTAATCAAAGGCACTCCTACTTAAAACATTATTCAAAGGGCTCCCTCTCCTGCTCCCATTCACCTCAGTTTCAAGCAGAAATTCTCCTTTTCTTAACTATATTATGTGGTAGCAGTCGAAAATCTGTTTCAGATATCAGTGTATTACTGCCTTTTATATGTAATATTATGTCATTTACACATCTTAGCTTTAAATGGGGGAGGAAATCCTTTTCAAAATGTACTTCTTGTCATCGCTTAGGAGGCTTTATTGAAGCAAATATGAGTGAAATTAGTTTGGAAGAAATTCAACAGATGTTTTCTAAAGATTTAGACATTGAACCAGGTGGTCACTGGAAGCCAAAAGACTGTAAACCACGTTGGAAGGTAAAGTACAAATACATTTTGAGTAATCTACAGTCTATGATTTTCTTAAAGTTTGAATCTGGTTGTTTTTGCAATATCAGAACATAGCTGCATATACAATACCTGACATGCTAAAATGTAATTTATCTTTATTTTTAATCCAAACAAGAAGCCCATAATAAATTGAAGTTTGAAAAGCATGCTAGAATAAAGACAGAATAACACCTTGTTATCTTTTTACTCACCTGCCTATCTCTATAAAAATCTAGGCATTCAATTTAGGTATAGTCCAAATCCATATAGCCATGGATAGGCTTCAGACCATAACAAAATGTGATAAGGACAACCAGATTTAGATATTTGCACATCTGTCATGTAAGACTGGATGGAGGGGAGGAGTGATTTTTTTTTTCTACATGAAAATCACTATTAAGAGATAAATTCTTTCTCCTTGGAGGTGTGCTAGAAATAAAGGAATGAGAGTTCAATGTCAATTTATCCTTTTTGATGCAAACTTGAAATCTTTACACTTATATTTCATAAATGAACGGGACCATTCTAACAATAATAAATGTATTTGTTCATGTTCAGTCTAGTTTGACTTTTTGAAAAACACCAATAAATAACTGTTCCTCCATGTATTTACTAAAATGAACATAGATGACAGACAGTCTTTGGAAGACAAATGTCTGAACTGGTGCGATTGAAAAGACAGTTCCCTATATTCTCAGTGATTTAATTTGGCAAATGATGGAATAGGGCAGTGATTCTCAACCTGTGGTCTGAAGACCCTTGGGAGGGGGGCCCCTCTGGTGTCATCACAGCAGGTCCATGAAGGTTGGAAGAAATGTTATGATTTAAATCTTGAGTTAAGTATTGGGGATTCATGGCTACAAAAGGTATTTAAAGGGGGTCCGTGTGAAGAAGAGGTTGAGAACAGGACATAACTTTATCTCAGATATATCAGAACCACGTATTACAATCAAATATTACCTAAGGTATGGTGATTGCAAACTGTTTATTTTATTTTTATTTAATTATCAGATTTAGGTACCACCCATCTCACTCTGAGTTAATAAAATATTAACCTAAAGCATTATCCAGAAGGCAGCTGGATATGTCAATATGAAGACAAAAAATGTTCAATAACCATAATTGTGCACACTAGCAAATAGCTTTCCTAAGATTTATGTTTAACTTCTGCAATTCAATCTGCTAGCATAATAGCTTTCAGATGGTTTACTATTTTTATAGGTTGCAATACTCATCCCTTTTCGCAATCGTCATGAACACCTTCCTATATTTTTTCGACATTTAATACCAGTGCTGCAGAAGCAGAGGCTAGAATTTGCTTTCTATGTTGTTGAACAGGTGAGTTTGTTTGTTTATTTATTTATATCAGAATAAATGTAGATATTATTTTATTGCACATATTTGGGTGAGTATTTTAAAAATATTACTTCTATGTTCTCCTATTAGTAGGAATTAGTGGGAATGTAATTGAGGATTGGATGTAATATGCTTAAGTTAAAATGGGCTCATTAAAATTAATGGCAAAGCTATCATAGCCCAAATTCATAGATTTCAGTGGAAATATATCATTATGCAATTGTATTCCAGTTGTTAATGTGCATATTCTAATTAACTTTCTTTAACAGTTTATTCTTCTATTTTTCCCTCTGTTAAGGTAGGAACACAGCCTTTTAACCGAGCAATGCTGTTTAATATTGGCTTCAAAGAAGCTATGAAGGACAATGATTGGGACTGTGTAATCTTCCATGATGTGGATCATTTACTCGAAAATGATAGAAATTATTATGGATGTGGTGAAATGCCACGTCACTTTGCTGCAAAATTGGATAAATATATGTACATGTACGTAATATGTAGAACAGTATTTCTGACCTATATTTGTGCAATTAGTCAAAATAAGCAGTACAGGTAGACCTCAATTTACAACCACAATTGAACCCAAAATTTATGTTGCTAAGACAGTAATTAAGTGAGTTTTGCCTTATTTTATGACCTTTCTTGTCACAATTGTTAAGTGAATTACTGCAGCTTTTAAGTTAGTAATATGGTTGGTAGGTGAATCTGGCTTCCCCATTGATTTTGCTTGTCAGAAGGTTGCAAAAGGTGATCATATGATCTTGGGACAGTGCAACCATCATAAATACGAACTGAATTTCGATCATGTGACCACGTAAGGTCACATGATCAATGCAACTATTGTGAGGGTGATAAAAGGTCATAAGTCACTTTTTTCACTGTTGTAACTTTAAATGGTCACTAAACGAACTGTTGTAAGTCGTGGAAAATATTTTAAATTGATCCTCACATTCCCTGAATACATTTAGTGCTGTTACCAAATATTCCATGGACAAGTTCATGAAGATGAAATGCCAGTTTTAAAAATGCACTGGATATATAAACTTATTATATTACCATGAACTTTAAGAATGTTAAATAAAAATGTATCAGTGTACATGATATATTTGGAAACCACAATTTACATCTCTTCTATATATCTCTTCTCCCCTTTGATTAAAGTTCAGTTTTAACTGTGAATTCAAACAGTGAAAGCCAGGAGCAGAATGAGGAAGAAGTTAAGTTAAGTTCTCCTAGTACCCAAGATTTTCAAAATGTGCTCAGCTTTTAAAAGTTTCCTCTAGAACAAATTGGAGAGTATGCAAAGAGCTGCAGGAAGTCTCATTTATAACCCTGGATTTTTCACAAGAGTTTTAACATGCATAGTGTGTATTATTGTGTATTTCTACTGAAAACGTTCATTATTTGTAATATTTTACTTATTTCTATTCCCAATGGCTCTTCAAGCAGTTTCATATCGGTATGAAATAGGCTGCAACTGAGAAACATAGATCTTTAAAAAAAAACCCACAGATTTTTATCTTGTCTTTTGTTCAAGAATTCAAAATAGCACATAGAGACCTCCACTCCTTTTATCCCCTTAACAGTAGCAAACTTGGGGTAAGAAAATGACTACCCAAAATTACTCCAGGAGCTTTCATCCCTGAAGGGGGACTAGATCCTGGGTTTCCCCACTCTCATTCCAATGTCCCATTGCTAAATGCTGTTCCTACAAATATCCTGTGTTTTGCTTGGTTCCACTTTCCCCCCACCTCAGAACTTGTCCCATGTGCTGTGTTTTGAAGTGATTTGCCATGGTTTTGTTTTGTTTTTGCTTCTTATTTTACTCCTAGCCATTCCAATTCAAATAAGTGGACATTCAGTCTGTGGCTGTTTTTCTCACTTTTTATCCATGTCTGGTATTCTGTCCCTTTATATTATTCTTTTTTTTTAATTTCTCCATTTTTTCCCTAGAATTTACAAAAAAGTTCTGTATTTTAAGAAAAGGATAGTCTTAAACTATTACAAAGTACGTTAAAGATACTCTTTCATTCCCCACTAATGTCATTTTATTTTTACTTCTACCTTTTGAAAAGTAGAGTATTAATAGACTATTCAGTTGTTTTGTAGTTACAGCTATACCTTATTTTCCAGAAATAATATTACTTTATCTATTATATAACCAATTTACAAAATTTTAAATCCATTTAAATATATTTAATTATTGATTTAAATTACTTATATATAAGATGTAAAAACTCTTGCTATGGAAAATAGTTATAAAAATGAGATAAAGCCAAGCTTGGTGGTAAATTGTTGCCTCTCTCCTGTCTCCCAAAACCCAACATAAATGTTTCTATGAGGGCAGCAGAAACTGAACTTGAGTCAAAGAACGCTTCCCTTTCATCTTTGCAAGTCCTAAACATAAATACTTCCTCTCATTTTCAGACTTCCATACAATGAATTTTTTGGTGGTGTAAGTGGACTAACAGTAGAACAATTCAAAAAAATCAATGGATTTCCAAATGCTTTTTGGGGATGGGGAGGAGAAGATGATGACCTTTGGAACAGGTATTTGTATTATATTAACTTTATTAAGGCATTGGCCAGAATCCATAGCAAATGGAACACATGAGGTTTCAAAGTAGATGTAGGATAAATGGAAGAGAAATATCCAAGCTCTTTTTTGCTGGCATGAAATAAGAAATTTATGAAATAGAGATTTATTGGATCCAGTCATAAAAGTAATTGGCTAATCAGATTGGAACAGCTTTAAGCAACAGCATATAAGTAAAGGAATTCCTTGCTAGCATCTGCCTCTAGATGTATCTAAAGCAGGGGGGTGTTCAGCCTTGGCAATTTTATGACTTGTGGACTTCAACTTCCAGAATTCCCCAGCTATATTGTCTCAAAGTTGCCAAAGTTGGATACCCCGGTCTAATGGAACCTAAAGCTAGCTGTATATATGTATTTTTCTTAGTTTTCATGGTGATTGGCTAACAGCTGCTTCATTTTAACTACTGAGTTTTTGCTTAGAGGTGTTGCTTTCAATAAGTCAAAAGCAGTCACATTCATGCAAGATTGATATGCCATAGTATATTGATATGCCACATGAGCAAGTGTAACAAACATTTTCTCTCCCTCAACTACTGGCATATAAAATACACATAATAACACCTGTAGGTTAAAAACCAAAAACAACAACTTTACAGAGCTCTGTATAGCAGTGTGTGCTGGATCTTGTCACTTGCTGGATCTTGTCACTTCCTCCATTTTATCATTCTGACACCATGCACATGCCTATTGGACATGAATGTGATGTTGTAGCACATGCAGAGAAAGGATGGGGCTTGCAATACAACACTATTTTTGTCAGTCTGACCCTCCTTATCCTTCCTTCAGAAATCATTTGTTGTTGTCCATATTTTAGGAAATTGCACATCTTGTTTTTTCTGTGTAGTTCAAGAGATGAACCATACTCCCTTTAAACCAAAACCAATTCAGTTGCATTTTAAACATCAAGAGGTCCAGGCCATATTTGACACATATTGTGATGAAAGTATAATTTCGGCACTTATTCACATAATAAATTTATTCTCTAGGATGATACCAGTTTGAAAATTGCTGGTAAATCTCTATTTTGGAATGCATAGGGTAATAGGGATATTTAGCTTACTTTACTGAAAATTGGGTTTTAAAGGTATTTGAAGCATTAGATTTTATAAATCTGTGGTTCCATAGAATGCATATTCCTTTCTAAGTTGCTATTTTTTATTTCATGTTTACAAGAGTTATTTAAAAATTGAAACGCCATATACGACAAATCAGTGGTTGGGCCTTAAAATATTAAATATGTTTTTATGATCTTCATATTAGTCTAGTTCAACTCCTCCCACAAATCATATGTATCATTTCACTATCAACTTCATTATCCTAGAAGTAGAAATATTCGGGAGGGCACATTGTATGATATAGGCTTGCTCTTCCATTGTCTCATTTTGGTTTAATTTTCATACTTTTTAAATGTGGTTTTTGCATAAGCACTATGGCTTAGATATGAATATAATACTAAATTATATACCAAACATGTGGAATTATTCATTATATGAAGAAATATGGATTGACTGAGCATGAGCCATAACAACAAAAGGTAACAAAAAGAGAAGGAGTGTATACAGAGTATGATTTAGGATTTCTTTACAACCAATTAATAATAGATTTACTCTGATTAATATGCCTGTGAAGGAGAGAGTGAGTTATAATGGAGCAATCAGCATCATTCTGAGGTGCTGGTTAACTGTTTCTATTTAGAAATGCTTTGGAATATTTTATTCTGAATTTTTTTTCTCTGCAGTCCCTCAGTGGTTCTGGCCCATTTTTAGATTCAAACTTCCTTTTGTTTCTCCTGAAAAGAAAATCTGATTCAGTTCTATTTTGGGTTAATTGTTTTGGTATCATTTGTTTGGTATAATTTCCTCTTCTTTTAATAACTAAAAAACCTTTCTGCTCCTCTATGAAATCAACTATAGCAACCTCTCTGTCCCACCAAACCTGCATAAAGTTGTCTCTGATGTCTTATATATATATATATTCTTAAGTTTTCGCGGGTACTTACATGTATGGTATTCAGCTTTGTTCGGGTATTTTCCCATGTCATTGTAGTTTTGCTTTTAAAGTTGTAGCAACGTTTCGGCAGAATCTCATCTGCCATCATCAGGCTTCTGTATTGTGTTCGTCCAGACATATATATATGATATTAGAAACACCAATCAAGCAAAACACACCAACTCCAAGACCAATAAACACAGACCAAGACTCCCAACCAAT